GGGGATTAAACTAGGGTCCTTGTGCTTGGGAAGCAGCCGCTGGAACCACTGAGCTAAATCCCCAGCCCAAGAAGAGAATGTTAGGAGCAATACTGATACCTATGGATTGGGCAAAAGAAAAAGAGCCAGCTTGGAGTGGAGAGGAGTGCCTCATTCATGATGTTTTCATTAGAGTTGCTGAACTACAGATTAACTCTTGTAGATGTCTTTCTTACGCTGAACTATTATCAAGCAGATTAACCAAGTCTGGAGTCTTATTCCTAGATCTTTCTAGCTCACTCGAAATCCTAACTTTCCAGGCTCTGGAACCTGTGGGAACTCCTTGCAGGAGCCGTCCTCCTTTTCTGTTGTCTCTCCACATTCTAGGTTCTTAGAGCTGATTAAAGGGATGGCCTTAGAATTTGTCCTTTGAGGTTCAAAACAAGTTGTAGCACTTGTGCTTGGCCTCCCTGTGCCTTCTGTCCACCTGTCGCAGGAGGGAGTGAATCACAGACAGGTGTTTAAGCAAGGAGACAGGTGGTTAGACAGAGGCAAGGTGCTGGTAAAGGTGAACACCTTTTCTCTCCCCCAGTTCCAGGCACTCTCCCTGGAGTGCTTCTGTGGTTATGGCTTTTCTTTTGGGAAGACTTTGCTTTTGCTCTTACTCATGCAAGTAATAGTCTACATCTACATCTGTGAAGTCCTCTCAGTGCCTATGCTGGCTCCTAGCAACAGCTGGGAACCTGGGCTTTACAGGCTGTGTTTCTGTAAAGCCTAGGATCAAAGCCTTCCAAGGCACATGGGATAAAGCCCAGCCCCTTCCCCTGCGGGCCCATCCACCCCAGCCTGTCTGCACTGGGTCAGTGCCCTGCCCACCTGCACTGCAATGTGTGCCACACTCAGACCAGTTTTGCTGTTAGATCTTCATTAGCCAGAGCCAAATTCCTTTTCCCCAGAATTTGCGCCCACTGATGGAACAAGTTATATGCAGGGTCAGTCTGCCATCCCCAGAACTCTTGAAATTCACCCGTAGAATATCTTTCTTTGTTATTTATGGATTTGTTCTTTGGGCATTAGAGGGAGGAGTGGGAATTGAAATTAACTTTCATTTTTAATTTATCTTTTTACTAACTAGTTCATGTTGGTTGTGAACATATCAAAAGATGCAGATAGGGTGACAGAAGAAAATAGATCTATCATCCCATCATCCAGAAGTACCAATAAAGTTTGGTCTCTGATCTGTGGTCTTTATTCTGTGGAACAAATGGGATTTGCAATATGCATATTTTGAAATCTGTTTTTTTCCCCCCAGTACTGAGATTGAACTACCACTGAGCTAAATCCCCAGCCCTTTAAATCTGTTTTTAAACTTTGACACCTCCTGTGTATGTATGTGTGTATACACACACACACACACACACACACACATATTAGTTAATTATCTGTATTACTCTATTCTTATACTGGTAATAGTTTGCATTCTCATTTCTGTGGCTGCTTTATGTTTCACTGAATGGACTAAGCCAGGCTTTGAGTGTGCATTTTTCTGGGGTGAAGCCAGGGTTTGATGTGGTTTCAGAATAATTATTTTCTGGGGACACACAGTACATCAGAGAGGCCCACGAGTGACCTCTCGGGGACACCAGTGGGCTCCTCACTGGCTGAGTAGCGGGGCCGTGGAGGTATCCGAGGCACTCACCGAGTTCCCTCCCCAGCGCACCTCTGCATACCAGGCTGATTTCTTGCCTAACATCCCAGAAGGGCCAGTCAGCCAGCCTTCCTTCCCGACCGAGGCTGGAAGTCACTTTTCCAGCGCCAGCTCCAGCAGCACCCAGACTCCTTGGATTTCTCTCAGACTTCCCCTGTGTGGGCAACATGGGACCACTTACTTCTCCATCTGGCAGTACAGCATTCCTCGTTGGAAGTAAGCCACCGCCAAGTGCTTGTCCCGGTTAATGCTTCTGGTGAAGGCCTGCGGGGAGAAGGTTGTGGCCGGTGAGAAGGTGAGGAGGGATGAGCTGGACAGCGAGTCAGGAAGGAGTGCGGGGATGATGCAGGTCTTCAGGAAACAGGAGGGCAGTGCGGACCCCCTGGGTCGGAACTCTCAGGTGGTCACTTCCTCACTGCATAGCACACAGCAAGATGCCTACCCTTGGCGAAGCCTTCTCCTCTGTAAAATGAGGATGTTACTGTCTTCCTTTCAAGATTGTTGACAGTCAAAATAATAAAATGGATTAAAATTCAAATAGGATAAAACACAACATAATTTGTTTATAATATAAAATAGCACACAATTAAAATAATAGAAAACAAGAAAAAAATATATAACGTACTAGTGTAAGGACTCCAGCAGGCTACAAAGCAGGGTAGAGAGAGAGAACTGGGAGCAGAAGGTTGTGGGGAAACCTCTGGGGAGGGAGGGCGGAGGCGAGCAAGAGACAGTTGTGGTGGCCACAGATCCATGTTTAGGCCAAGGTGGGAGCAACAGTTCCCACTGGCCTAACTGGTCCCTGCCCCAGCCAGAGGTGGATACCCACATGTGTGCCTGTCGGGCTCCGAAACCAAATCACATGTGAGCACATTTCAAGCTATTTGCCTCTTCTTGTCAGGAGGGTGTGGCCAGGGCTCATTCACCTGCAGCGCAGGATGACTGGGAAACGAACCCGGCCCTCAAGTGTGCTGGAGGTCAGTCTACAGATCACTTTGCAAAGCTGGCAGTAAAAGGTGAGAATAAGAACTATTATGTAGTGATATGAAATCATACAGCTCCCCCACCCCAGTAGCAGGGACTGAATATGTTAGACAGGTGCTCTACTATTGAGCTACACATCTCTAGCCTTTTATAGTCTTTATTTTGGGTCAGAGTCTTGCTAAGTTACCCAGGCTGGCCTTGAACTCACAATTCTCCTACCTCAGCCTCCTAAGTACCTGGGATTATACAGGTGTACACCACAATGTCCACTTTTTCTTCATTATATTTAAACCCTCAAGATGCCAATGGCCAGGAGTTTACGTGGCTTGCTGCTAAAGGCCCAGGGAGTTAGTGTTGGGATTCAGTACAAGGTCTTCTGCTTCCAAACTCTGTGCCTTTTCCACACTACAATGATCAATCAAAAAATATGGTTACTGAGAATGTTTCCCTGTATATTAGGATATTTAAGAGATAAAGTATGTTTTTTTAAAAGACACCCCACACCATGGCCTTGGAAGACAGCAGTAATCAATCACAGTATGATTTCCTTTTGGCAGTCTGGGAACTCTTAAACAGGTGGCTGCATAATTGGCCAGAATCATCTCTTGGGATGAAACCTACTTTTCATAAGTGTCTCTCCTCAATCTCTTGGGCAGGCAAAACCAATACACATGAAATTCTTGGAAAGCCATAGAGCTGTCTACAATCAGATGCATAGCTGTGCGACAGGTAGGGACAAGGGAAAAAAACGAGAACCAAGACCTGCCATGTAAAGGTACAAGATCCCAGTAATGAATGTAACTATACTGTATACCTAGAATGTACCAATAAAATGAAAAAAAAAAAAAAAAAGATCCTAAATCCAGCAGGTGTTCGTACAAGAAAATGTAACTAAGAGAGTCTTCATAAAGGTGTTAAAGAATAACCGCCGGACTGTTTTGAGTTTAGTAGATGGAGAAGAAAGGAGACTGTAACTTGTAACTCTGGGGAGCTTTTACAGCTGTGGCTGCCGGGCCCCTCCCCAGAACAATTAAATCTGCCCTCTAGGGGTGGGGCCTGGACAACTTTTGTGTTTTTAGAGCTCCCCAGGGGAAAGTCTCTAAAATGCAGCTGGTGTTGAAAGCAATAATTAGAGGGCACCAGGAGCCAGGGAGAGGCCCTGCCACTCACCTTCTCAGCCTCAGGCATGTTTTCCAGGATGCTGTGCACACAGCCGATGTTGAAGCAGAGCCGGGAGTGGGGGTCCTGAACTGCACTGAAGGCATCCAGGGCCCCTTTCCAATCCTTCTTGTCAGCTGCCAGTACCCCTTCATTCCAGAGACTGATGGCCTCAGCCAGGGACATGGTCAGGCGGAGCCCAGGAGGCTGGCTGAGAGAGCTACCAGTACACCAGGGGGATGACAGGGCGTCTCCACAGCAGAATGGCCCAGGACCAGGTCGTCACGTTCCTGGCGAGGTGTGCAGAATGGGGTTCAGCCTTCTTTGGGACAACTTCTTGGTGTTGCAAAGCCTCAGGAAATGTCCCCACCTTCCAGGAACTGACGCACAACCTACTCTGAGAGAGAAAAGGAGACAGACTGTGGGAGGGTGGAGGAGGAGGGTCGGAGAGAGAGGAAGTACATCAGATGGGTCAGTTCCCCAAAATGCTCCTTCTCTGTTGGCTGCTCCTCTCTGTCTCCCACCCCTCCTGGAGCAAGGGTGGCCGTGGCAGATCAGGGCACCTGCCTGCATTGGAGTCCACACCTTTGTCAAACACAGGTGTTGGGTGACAGGATAGTGCTTTCCAGCCTTCACTGAATTCCTTGCTTGCTTTCAGTCTCATAGAGAGTCTCCAAATGTTAATTTTTATCTTGAACAAAATAAAAAACAACACATTTCTGAGATAAGATAAATGATCTTGGGCATCTGAGGCAACTTTAAAGAACATTCAAGATGTTCAGAAGGGACTGAGAGACAAATACTTAATGCTAATTCTTGTTTTGTAGCAACTGGAAGAACTCATTACTCCCATTCAAGTACTAACCAGGCCTGACCCTGCTTAGCTTCCAAGATAAGATGAGATGGGGAGCATTCAGGGAGACATGGTCATCAACAGAACTCATTACTTTACAGGGTACGTAGGATCAAAAGTGTAAGAACTGAAAAGACGAGGCCAGAGATTTAGCTCAGTGGTACTGCACCTGCCTCACAAGGGCAAGGTCCCGAGTTCGATCCCCAGCGCGTGCGCGCGCACACACACACACACACACACACACACATTGAAGAGATGTATATGCGTCTTTGCACAGACCCTACCCTGTGTCTGGAAGCACTTTTTAACCTCACTTTTGTTTATGTTGTGAATTCCTAGTCACCTTTCAGAACCCACCTTTCAAGTGACATTTGTATGTCACCACCTCTGTGGAATCTAGTGCCGTACTCCAAGCAGTAGGCAGAACATTTTCCACTTTGTACTACCTCTTCCCAAATATTTATTGCAGTGTAACTCTTTATCTCTTAGACCCCGTGGAAGATGGGACCATGTTTTCTCCAGGATCCCCAGTACCAACACTTAATAACCAAGGAAGGGATGAAGTGTAAAAGAAGTTAGAAATCACTGGTAAATGACCCAGAGACAACAGTGATGCCAGGAACAGATGTTGATAGCCTTACTGACTGCCGTCCCCATGAACCATCGAAATTTAAGTAGCACATCAATTATCCCTAAGAAAACCATGTGACTTTGCAGTTATCACTCCAAAGCTAGACTTTATTGAAACAATTTTTTGCCCCTCCATTCTTGGGGATTAAACTCAGGGATGCTCTACCACTGAATTACATCCACAGCCATTTTTTAATTTTGAAGCCAGGTTATTCTACGCCACCCAGGCTGGACTCAAACCTCAGATCTTCCTGCCTCACCCTCCCCAGTAGCCAGGATTACACATGTGCACCGTGTTCCCAGTTTAAGCAATGTTTTTCTCCTCTTGTTTATTACCCTAGCCCGACACTCAAAACTGTCTTGAATCTGACCCTTATCTGACTCATTTTCTCATTGCTTGGACAAATACCCAATGCCTACAACTTAAAAGAGGAGAGGTTTATATTGGCTACCAGTTTTTAGAGGTTTCAGTCCATAGGCAACTAGCTCCAAGGCAGAAAGTGCATGGCCAGGGTCATAGTGGAGGAAAGCTGCTCATGTCCTGGTGGCCAAGAAACAAAGAGCAAGTGGGGGAGAAGGGAAGGTGATAAACCCTTCCGGGTCACATCGATTGCCTCTCTTGACCAGGCCCCACCTCCTAGCACACATTAAGCTCAACTCAACAATGAATCAATTCCCTGAAGAGTATAGTGCCCCCACATTCCAATTACCTTCCTAAAGCCCGCTTATGAGAATAAGAAGTGACATTTTAGATTTAAACCAAAACATTCTACCCCACCCTTTGCCCCTCTCCAAGACGCAATGTTTTCGTTTTCTTGTTTATTACCCTAGCCCGACACTGAGAATTCTATCTGCCGCTGGAAACATTCCAGCCTTGGGGCTGGGGATTTAGCTCAGCGGTGCCCCCTCGCAAGCACAAGGTCCTGAGTGCGATCTCCAGAACCAAAAAATAAAATAACAGATTAAAACACTCTGGCCTTACTGTCCAGCGCTTCTTTGTACCGTTCATGCAGGTTCTCCTATATGCTCTACCCTGCCTACCTGCCCCGTTCCTTTGCTCTCAGCTAAGTGCTCACGGTAGCTTCCCCTCCTGCGCTGCCCTTTCCATATTTCCATCTTCTTGCCAGTCTTGCCGGCTTTGGAACGCTGCTGGAATGGCACCTTCCTTAACACACTGCCCCGAATTCAGGCCTGCGCCAAGCTCGTGACCTCTCCTTCTTCTGAGCCCCTGCATCTTTTTCCCTCCTCTCCCCATGTGGTACTCAGTCCTCCCGCCGTCGTGGGGGTTCTGTGTATGTGTGGGCACCTTCAGCCCTCACGCACCCCTCAGGAGGGACTCTTGGGGCTGACTCACCTTGTATCCCTTCTGGTACCAGCAATGCCTTTGAAAGTCCTCAGCTGTTCTCTTTCCTCCTAGCCCTCTGTTACCTCCCAAGCCAAGCCACCATCAGCTCATGGGTTAAGATAGTCTCCTAACCTCTCCATCCATTCTCTACTCAGCGGCCAGATTGAGTTTTTAAACCCTTGGTGCCTTTGCCTGGCTCTAACGGCCCAACCCAAACTCTCCTCCGGGGCAGGGCGGGAAGACCCTGACAGCAGCCACCACCCGCTCTCCTCGGCCACACCAGCCTCCGGTTTTGTTCTCGGATCAGCCAGGCCTGTTCCCTTTGCCCCAGTGATCTCCTGCGTGCAGCGCCAGGCTGCTTCCTACTCATCTTTCTCTTCCTTGGTGTGGCCTTTCTGGATCCATGACCTCACTCTCGCACAGCGTGCAGTTCCTGGCAGTCACACATCTGTCCCTGACGTTGTCTACTGTTGGTGAGACTGCTTCTGTCCCCAGTGCGTGACAGTTTACTCATTCATCACCTGATGCTCTTACTGGATTCCCTCCCACTTGTGTTCACTCTCTTTCCTTCTTTCGTTAGGGCCCCAGTTCCTTCAGTCCATGAGATTTAAAGATTTGAGCCCCAAACACTGCCCAGGAGGTGGGGTTCCGAAATAGAATGTTGATCACGGAGACGTTAGAAGTCTGCTGAGGATTTTGGGGAAAGATTTTTTTCCTCGGTGATGAAAAAGACACATAGAAAGAAATAGCGGCCAGAGGTTTAGCTCAGTGGTTCTGCTGCCTACTCTGTAAGCACAAGGTCCTGAGTTCTATCCCTGGTACCAAAACGAAACAAAACAAAAACCCAAAACAAACAAAGAAATGAAATAGTATTTGTTCACAATGCACTGTGAAGATGTACCTAAAATAGCTGCAGCTATCTTGTGACCTCCAGGAAAGTATTAGAACAAAGAAAAGACAATAGAAATAAAAGAACTCTGATCCTTCATCAGAGCATCTAAGTTAACAAATGTCGGTGAGCATCTATGTTAACAAACCTTGGAACTCAGGACTACTTGTAAGATTAGATAATAAATTTGTTTACTGTTTGAGCCCTTGAATGGGATTTTATATTAGCAATCATTTAAAACATTCTGATGGACACAGCACTGTGTTTTTGTGGTATTGGCTGATAATTTAACATTTCAGTTCAGTGTCTTGAAAACGATTCCCAAATAAGTAGCAAGATTTCCCTTTGATTAGCTGCCATCAGATCACAAATTCCTGTTGCCTGTATTCATTCAGCTGTATGCTAAGAACATTGCCCACACCTTCCCTTTTCTTTGAGGAAAGACCCTACAAAGTAAAAATAAAGCTCATTACTCCTTGGCAGGGCCTCAGCAATACTTCCTCTTCTGAGCTTGTAGAGTTCACTGCTGCTTTCTAGCACCATTGTGTGGACCTTCTCCAAGGCCCTTGAAGAGCAGTGCCTTTCTCCACAGTCCTGCAGTTTCTTGCCATGTCCAGCACAGTTCCAGGCACATGGCAGGTGCTCCACAAGCATTTAGCAACTGATTCGATGAACAAAAACATGAGATGACGCATCTTACAAAAAATGGAGAGCTTCTTTTCTGGAGGCTTCACTAAAGAAGCATTTGCTTCAGAATGCACTTCCTTGTAGCCACATAATCTGCAGAAGGAAGATTGCTTCTTCCAGGTCATCAGGGAGGCAGGGAGACTCTCACCTATAGATCTTTTTAAAAGTATCACCTGATTAGGTAAGGCCCACCCAAGATATTCTCTCTTTTGATAAACTTGAAGCCAACTTCTTAGAGGCATGAGTCTTTACTGTAAAATACGTTTACCTTTGACACATTCTGAAAGCAATCCACAAGTCCTTCCCATTCAAAGTGAGGGTATTACCTAAAGGCAGGGATCACTGGGGATCACCTTAGAGTTCTGCCTGCCACACTCTATAGCTCCAGTCTTCTCCCCTGACAAACCAGCAAAGTAAAGTTTCCTGCTGTACACTCCTAGTGTGTGTTCAACCATGTGAAATTGTCATTGTTCATGCGATTGTCTCCAAACTGGACCTTAAACTCCAGGACTATAGCATCCATGTTTAATTTTCTCACTTCTTTTGTGCCCGTGGTGGGGGCAGGGAGAGGGACTTAAAATATGTGTTGAACAACAGTGCTGTGGAAGGTGCTTTTAAGGTCAGTGTAGTTATTTAATTTGGTTGGCTACATGTGTCTGCCCTGTCATTTTGGATCCAAAAGAGGGCACACGTCATGCCTTTTTCTTTTTTAACACTCGTATTAAGCACACTGGAGACTAGGGTTGTTTTCATCTCTGTGCACCTTCAGTACACAAGGTCTAGCACCTGCAGAGGTGAGCACTCAGTTAAGGCTCAGAACGAGTGAACGAATGGTGGTTGAAGTTCTGAACCTTGGGTGGGGCAAGGAATCAATTTTCCTTTGTCTGAATTCCTAAATTATTTTGTAATCAAACTGCAAAGCACAGGAGCTGTTATTTATTTTTACCTTACTATCCAGCTAGCTATAAGCTAGTTGGAGGCAGGGAGTATGCTTTTTTTTTAATGTTTTCTACAGAACCTAGCTCCTAACATCTTTCATCAAAGGCTTAATAAATATGTGCTGATCTAGAAGGTGGGGAAAGATGACTTGAGCCTTGTGTATCTTAAATTCTCTTTTTGGTTCTGGACCTTCTTTGCAGAGTACCATCCACTGAATGCAATCTAGTTATAGTCAGGGCGGGAGCTCTTTTAGATGTTCTTTGGGTTTTTTGTTTGTTTGGTTGGTTGGTTGGTACTGGGATCTTGCGCTTGGGAGGAAGGCAGTGGAACCACCGAGCTAAATCCCCGGCCCTCTTTTAGATGTCTTCATGCTCCATGGCTCTTTTCCTCTGGGGGGGCACAGGACTCCAGTTAGTTCATCCACGTGCAAGTCTTCAGCATGTTTCCTTCGGGTCCATGCTCCCGATCCAGTGGTGTCTAAGGAGAATGCGGCCTGATGTAACTGATCACGTCTTGATACGAAAGCAGTGGGTAGGGGTGGTGTGCAGAAGAGCTAGACCTGGGCTCCACATTAAAAGAACTTTGCAAAGACTCTTTTTTTTTCTCCTGTGATATGTCCCTAACAAGTAAACTAGTACCTGGATATAAAATAAATATTTGTCAAATGGATGGTGAATACGTAAAGAGTAGACACTGATGAGGGTATGTCCTTCTTCCTGCTTCTCTAGGCACTGCCTGTCTATGCCATACCACAGAGTAGGCCCTGCAATCACATTAGAACTGCACGAGGCAGGGTGCAGTGGTGCATGCCAATAATTCCAGCCCTTGAGAGGTGAGGCAGGAGGATCACTATGAGTTTGAAGTCATCCTGGGCTACATAGCGAGTTCAAGGCCAGCCTGAACTACAGGTGAGACCCTGTCTCAAAAATCAAAAAATAAAAGCAAACAACCAAAACCAAATCAAACCAAAACAAGGCCTGCATGATTCCTGGCTGCTCAGACCATGGCAGGCATCTGACAAGCATAGCCCATAAGGGTCTCTCTCCTGTGAATCAGGATTTGAGCTTAAGGGATAAACCCAAGAGTTGAGTTTTTACTGAGTTCTGCCCCAACACTCAGGAAAGCAGAGGAAGCCAGTCTACCTACAGAGGGAATGACGCTGGTCCCAGGGGAGGAGCAGACAAGGGACGTAGAGGCTTTGAAGCCCCAGGTCCAGTCTTTCCTGAGATTGATCTGAATTCCTGCCCAGCCCAGGCCCTTCCAGTGAATTTCAGTGTTTGATCAACTTTGCTCCAGTTAGTTTGATTGTAGGCATCCCTCACCCACAGGCTCCCAAAAAAGGAAAAAAAAAAAAAAAGTACATGTGAGCCTCTGACCAAAGATTCTAAAACAATTGCTCTGTGAGGAGGTCAGATGATGTGCTCAAGAGCTGGGAGGAGTGGCTGCTTACTTAGGAGAAATCCAAGTGCCTGGCAGAAACCAAAGGCAGAGCAAAAGGAAAGAAAAAAAAAAACAGGAGCTGAGGTTGTAAAAAAAAAAAAAAAAAATGTTAATAACAACACAGAGGTCTCCATGGCAGAGACCTGGTTTGGTACGAGTGGCGTCATGTTGACAGATGTCAGGGAGAAAGCAGAACTCCTTGATGCCTCTTTGTTTCCAACTTATACAGAGTGTTTTGTGTTTTTTTTTTTTTTTTTTGGTACCGGGGATCAAACTCCAGACCTTGCGCTTGCAAGGCAGGTGGTAGAATCACTGAGCTAGATCCTCAGCCCATCCAACTTACACAAAGTGAGGAAGGCCCAGAAGAGGAGGAAGCTGCTAGCTGCTGTACAGAAATTTTAGTTTTCAAATCCAGACTCAGTAAATCTCAGGAACCAACAGCATTTGCAAGTGTGATCCCTAAAACCTTGTCAGTAACTGAAGCATCAGGACACCAGGGCTGATGTCAGAAAGCTGCAATGGGTAAGTGTGATTCTGTTCCCTCAAAGCTCTGAGCATTGAAACATCAAAGATCCATGAGCTGACCCCTTGAAGAATTCTAAAACATACATTATAAAAGGTACTCACAAACAAAGGGGAAGTTGATATTTTCAGGAACTAGGTTGGTTTACTAAAAGCAAGTCTGGTCAAACCAGTGTCTCTTTTTTGTATGTGTGGTACTGTATTAAACCCAGGGCCTCACATTTTCTAGGCAAGCACTCTACCTCTGACTACATCTCTAGTCCTTTAGTTTTGAGATGGGTGTTGTTAAATTGTCCAGCCTGGCCTCACAAGTTGCTACCCTCCTGCTTCAGTCTCTTGAACAGCTGGATTCACAGGTGTGGAACCACCAAGTCCAGCAAATTTTTCTTGTGAGAGGCCTTTCCCCGTAGGTATATGAGGAAAGTATCATATGCAAATATCAGTAAGATATCTGGGCAAGATATTCCTTAAAGACAATTTAAACAACTTAGTTGGATAAATGCTATATCCATAGACACTCCTTAATACTAGTCCCACCTCTTAATTTCAGCCTTTTTATAAACGACTTGGATCATTTTTTACAAATAACCCAAAGTTTGGACTGAAAATATCAACACATATAATAAAAACATTGATAATATTGCCTGATTCACACTGATTTACAAAAAAATCCAAGTTAAAATTTGGTGGGGATGCATGCAAAGATCTCCTCCTAAGTGCAAAAACTCAACCGCCCAAATGTAGGAAGCAGACAGCTCTGAGGAGCTGTGTGCTAGAGCAAGATTTAACCACTTGGGCTGACTGCAAGCTTGGCGTGAGTCAACAGAATCGCGCGGTTGCCAAAACAGCTAACGCAACCTGAGGCTGCCTCAACAGAAATGCAGCCAAGTCTTGTGTCAGGCGGCTCTTGACTCAACCACACACCCAGAGGCCTGGGGACCTCGGCTGCCCAGTTCGTGAAACTGGAACTCACCCCTACCTAGAAACATGCTCTCCCACACCCTCCCGGCTTCCTGTCACTGCTCCGCACCCCAGACTCTCATCCTCTTCCCCACAACCCTCGGCTCAGAGTAGAAGACACCATCTGGGAAGGCCCTCGTTCAGTGCTTTTGCTCACAGTGCAGCCATGAAAGCAGACC